TCCAGGACTTGACTACAGTCAGAAATACAGAGCCCTGACAGAACCCGACTAAAGTTCTGTGCTGTTTGTCATTTTTAGTTGACATTAAATTTGCAGGTTCTTGGCCAGCATATCCTCGGACATCAAGTCCAATGGCTTGAAATTATCTTTCATTGACATTTTCACTTTTTGGCTGCGTCTTCAGTTCTAATTCCATTCACTGCTACACTGAACTATAAGTTTAAAGATATGCATATTTGTTCTTTATATACTTTTTAACACTAATGAAAAATAATAACAATAATGCTTTGATGCTAAAAACAAAATTCTCATTTAGACATGCTGTTTTTTTTTCTGACTTAATGTTCATTATTTGTCAATGTCAATTTAATGAAATATTTGCCATCGTGTTTAGAACTGATGCGCTGAACTGTTAGGCTTAAGAACATACCTCTCAAGTCTGTCTTTGATACACTAAGTATATACTGTAATAAAAACTGAATTTTTTCAAAATTATGAAATATGAATGAATCGTATTAAAATATCCACTCAGGATACAGTAATAACAGTAAAGCACAAAATAGCATTGTAAGTTTTATAAGTGATATTATTTCACACTCCATCAGCTAAAACATGTTCATGTTAGTTTTGTTTTGTTCGATTTACTGTGATAGTAGCTTTTCTCAGTATATTTGCTAGCCATCAAGCCCTATTGCGACAAGTTCTCCTCGGCGTTACACAGCCAGTGATCCCAGCACTCGGCCAAATATTGAAGAGGTGAGTTCATGCATCATAGCCAGTGATTCAAGGAAATGGGGCACATGCTTCCTCCTCTGAAACCCTGCAAAAACTGCAGAAATTTCAAAACTGACTAACCAAAGATGTTTGTAATTTCTCTCAATGACTGTATTTGTTACTGGATCTCTTCTGTCAAAACTTGTAGAGGTATTTTAAAAGGCTCTTCACTTTGATTTCTGGCTTCGTACTACATTATATTAGACAGGCTTTTTTTCCATTATTTATTTTAATGGTTTAACCTTTAATGCCTTTATTTTGTTATATTCTCTTTTTGTTGTCTTCCTGCACATAAGTTTCTGATGGCTGTAATTAGTGTTTATTAGTTCCTTCTCTGGTACACTGGGCATCATATAACATCCAGTCCTTTGCTGGCAGAATCTTCAAACATGACTGAGTTTTTAAATTCAAAATTGATATTACCAAAGTAATTGAGGACTAGTTCTTTAATAATGATTATCTTTGTATTTCCAAGTTCTTGTATAGTTAATTTACTGTCTAGGAGTGTCAGAAGCGTCGGAAAAAGAACGGTGCACTGTTGACATGAAATCACCAAGGATAAGAAAAGAGCTATTCATTTCTAAATCTTTATTTTCCTGTCTCCTGTAGCATTCAAAGGGAGTGATTGTGGGTCTAGTGGCTGAGCACATTTTTTTTAAATTCTGGCAGTATCTGCTTCACATTTTGGGTATTTAGACTGGAATTTTCTGTAGATTTTTTTTATCAGGACACAATGTTTAAAAAGTCTTGTATTTTTCTTATTCAGTCTTTAAAAATCATTAGATATTTTTTTATAAATAAAATAAGATGGAGCCTCATGAGAAGGTTTGGCTGTTTGTAAGGTCTGTGAATTATTTATGACAGGAATTTAACTCTGTGGTGGTAGAACATGGAGGTCTATTGCTAGTAATACAGAATTCCATCATTGGATACAGGCCCAAGTCAGTTCCTCACGCAGCCTCAACCTTGGTCTCGTATTTATTCTATTGGTGTTCTGCTACTTTGCAAAAAGCTTGATAAAAAAAAGATACAGTCCATAAAATCATAAGTTTCTCATAGTAACTAAATACATTGACAAATGCAATGCTGCAGACTTTTTCTTCCTCCTTCATCAGACATTGTAATTGGTCCCTGAATTCTTTCAAGCAATTGGTTCAGTCAATATGGACTCTAAAACTTTGTTCACATCAGTCCCTGATAACAGGGTTGCAAATATCTGATAACCCAAGAAGATTATTTCAGGCAGTTCTTAAGTTATTCAGCTGATATCTAGCAACAAAATTCTATTTTGAAGCCGATTTATCAGACATGTTTAAATCATATTATTTTCCTTTGTTCTTGATTCAGTGGCTGTAATCCATGCGTTCATGTAGACCTGTGGACTAACATCTAGCATGCTAAAGCTTGCATTATTTCAGGTATTGGCTGCATGGAAAGAGAAGTTTGGACCATGATCTGAATTGTGGTGCCATGTAGTACTGAGGTTAGTTACCAATGTTTCAATCTTCTACTCTGAAGATGGAGGCACTATTCCTCTGAAGCATTGGTAACCACCTACAAGACTGCATGAAATTCAACACAGAAGAACATGATCCACATTTTCACCCTTGTGAGAACCTCAAATCTCATTGCAGATGCTTGTTGCATGATGCATTACTTTGTGTTACCTTGAATTTGTATTTTATTTGTATGTACCTGTATTGTAACTCATTTTGTTTCTATTAATATAGCATGAATTTTACTCCATTATTCCAGTGATGCCATCTGTTGAGTAAGTACTATATTTCAGATGATGTAGAAAAGGATAACTTTTAAATTTATTGTTAGATGTCATGCTTTAAATCTCCTTTTTCCTTGAGATAGGAACATTTACTTTGGATGTTGTTGTTAGCTTGATCCGAAAAATTATATGGTGCTGTTTTGGAGGCTGGCTGTGTGTCTGTGCAGCAGACTTGTATGCAATAGATATCCAGTTTGAATCTTGTCAAGAGTAACCGATTGATACAATTCTCTTCAATCCTCCTAGACGAATTCTGGGATAGTATGAAATAAACCGAGTTCTTTTGCCACCATTCCAAATCAACTATGCATAATCGCATTACTTCTGATTCCATGTTACTTAAAGTGTCTAAATATTCCATGAATCTATTATTATACCTACAAAGTTAAAAATATGTTTGTTTAATAATTTACTTTGTTTGTTAGGTTTATTGAAATATTCTTTTTGTTAGCTTATTTAATGGCATCTTATCTGTACAGGTTACCTAATATTATATGGGAATATTATTATGATTGATGAACTGGAAAGGTTGTGAAAGAACGTTGTAGTTGACTTTTTCACAGTACTATCCCAGCATTTGTCTGTTGGGACTAGAGAAGGGCACAAAAGTCCTGTCATAACTGGCCTTGAGGCTAAGAACTGAAATTGGAATCTCAGTGTGAAGCAGGAGTGCCAATAATTTAACTTCAGTCTGGTTGTTTAAATATTAATTTTGTGATGTCTCTTCATGGATATTAATTAGCCCTTGAATAAGTTGCATAGCTTAAAATTTACCATGATCTTCTCCCCCTATATCCCTCCCAGTACATACACGTCCTGTCATATCGATGCTGCGTGACCTTGGGATGTGATCTAGAAGTATAACGTAGCTGATTAATGTGACAATTTGTGTGTTGATGCAGAACTTATTAACATGCCGTTATGAGTATATTACTATTTTTTCAATTAATAGTAAACATCAGTTATGATATTAATAACAGTAATGTGTTTTAATGTAACTTTAGTAATGTTTTAGTGTTTTGAAAATTTTCTTTGAAACTACAGTTAAATTTTGTTTTGTATATGTGTTACCCTTTTCACTGTTTGCGAATAAAAAATATCATTCAGCTTTGTATTGCACTTGTCACAACTTGAACTTAAGTTTTTTACAGCACAGATCCTTGAAACAAAAAACCATCGTCACAGTACTCTCTTTATGCATCAGAACTGCTCTGCCCGCAGTACACGGCACACTTTTCTGCATGACAGAAATATTCCATCTTCTACTGCAAATGAGTTCTGTAGCTTGTCTTCTGTTTATACTTAATATTGCATTTGTGACGTGTAGATAGTAAGCCATTAACATCGGTGAATTGTAGTTTTACATTTTTTTATATAGAAATCAGTACATAACTTTGCATTATATATATGTGTGTTAAGTGTTTTGTTGCTTTTGTACAAAAATGTATACAGAATGTAGACATGTTTGGTGCTAGTGTTTTTCATGTGTGGTAACATGTATTTTCACCATACATTTTAATAACATACGGAGTTATTTTGGTTACAGTTATATCAAGTTGGTAACATTGCAGCCACTATTTGTACTACAATTGCTATGTATTATTTAGATGTACAAGGGTCTATTTATCACAGTATTAAAATAACAGGGATGGATGTAGTTCATTATTTAATTTGCAAATGGCAGAAGTGTATAATATTAAAAAAAGTTTGCTTGTGTGGTGGACATGCTAGATGACGCTGAGAATCAGAATTGTGAATATTGTCATTGCTCCAGTAAAGAAACAACTATTGATAATTAAATTACATCTGTTCAGAGAATTATATCAGTATCTTGGAATGTTTTGTTAAAATATTTTATTTGTACATTTTGTTAGCAACTTATGACTTTCAGTATTTGAAAACTGTTATCACACACTGAAACCATTTAGTCTGGAAGTGACTTTTCTGATTAGTAGCATGTAAAGAGTCCATTTCTGTGCAAGAAAAGAAAGGTGGATTCAGAGAATTCTATAAATGTTTGAGGTCCTCTGTCAGATTTCATTTAACAGAAGAATGATATTCAGTATATAGAGACCACAAAATATAGATTCAAACAGACAAATTAAAACTGGAACTGGTTTAGTGAAATTGCATTAAGAAAATCATGTTGCAGTCCATTGTCATCTTGAGTCTGACAGTTTTGAACTCAGGCATGTAGACCTGTTAGAGGGTCATATTTTATGATAATTTGACCTCAAAGGGTGGACACAACACAATAACTCAGGTGCTCATGTTATGGAGAATTGTTATTTTGAGGTCATGTGAAGGTATATGTATTGTTGTTGATGTGAATTGCACTTCCTTGTTTATGCTGCTTTCATTCAAGACTTAATTACAATTACTTTATCAGGCTTAAGTTTATAATGTGTTGAATATACAGAAGATGCATGTTGTATATTTGTTTCAGAGTGATGCCTCCCCTTCTCCTCGCTTAGCTCTCAGACACATCACTACTAGCAGTTCTAGCACAGAGTGTGTGCCATCTGGTCTACATTTGAAGACTGATGAAGCTGTTCCAGCATCACTACCTGCCTCAAGGATCATTCCTGGAGGCAGTGTAATGGGTGCTGTAGAAGCTGCCTTGACAACAGCCCAGATATTGGCCACAGCTGCTCTCCAGGCAGAGGCAGAGGGTACGGAACCAGATGATGACAGACTGTCTGAGTTTCTTGACTCTCTGCCAGCGGATGGTACCAAAGAGACGGGTGAGGATGGGTCCCGGCCTACCACTCCTGTCAGCTCCTCTAGTGATGGTGATCGAGGAGATGCTGAAAAGAGGAAGGACAATAGTTCAAATGGCAAGAAGACTCACTGGAAGAGCCAGAGTGTGGGTGAGGTAGTCGACGTGCGGCGCTCGAGCGGAGGAGAGGAAGGCAGTGTGGAAAATGCCAACTTCAGTCAAAACAGAGAACTCTGGCAGCGAAGAGCAGCATCACAGTCACAGTTAGAATCTTCAAAATCAATAGTCAAGAGTTTTCGATCCAATCAAGAGTTCTGGGAGATGCGTCAGAAGCACACGCCTGATTTAGTGATGGATCTTCCACTTCTTGGTTCATCTAGTCCTAAAGAAGCTGGTGGCAGTAAGAAGTCCCTGTCTGCAGTATCTTTATCCTCACTGTCATCGTCGTCGTCATCTGGAGAGGAGGAAAACTTGACTGCGGAGACTGTCATAAGTCCAACGGGCCCAGAAAGTCCAGATATGACAACTGCAGCAGAACGATTTGCCAAACAGAATCAGTGTACACTTAAGAAGAACACCAAGGCCTCGCATGGCGCCTCTATTGATGCTCAGACACAAACCATGAAGGCTGCCACTAAGCGATCAAAATTCGCTGCCTCATCAGCTGTTGCCGCCACGGAAATGCCCGACAACGATTTGCAGATTCCTGCCGATGTTATCAAGACGAGCGACAACGATAATCTGAAACCATCCAGTGACACCAAGAACCAATCCACTGAATCAGAATTGGTGCCAATAAGGAGTCCTGGACCTCAGAGAACAGCAAAGATTGGAGGAGGGAAATTTGGTCAGAGTGGCCCCTTGTTACAGGTGGCTGCTGTGTCATCCTTCAAACCTCAGGTTAAGGTGAAGCCGCAGATCTTGCGTAAACCAGTTCTACCGGTCCCCCATCCCCACCACACTCAACCATCACCTGAACTCGTGCACAAGGAGAAAACACAGGAGCAGATGAACTGAATGGCCTCGGTGCTCCACCTGTCATGTTTCAATTATTTTATAAGACTGATTTTATTTAGCACCTGTTGGAAGTGTCTTTATAGAAAAGTTGTTTTATGAATAAAAACAAGAGTGCGTTTTTGAATTTCAGTGACAAAACTGTAATTTTGTATAAGCTGTACTATTCTCTATATATTGTGACAGTGTTCCTTTCCATAAAAGGGTATGATACAAAAAAATGCACTGAAAATGTTTCTCTTGATGTGATACAGGTGAATTTTTGTATTGATAGGCCTACTATATTATTGGACATTATTATATGTTTTTATTTGTATGTTTCTTTAATGCTATAGAATATTTGTTTTCAGATATTGCTTATTTGTGTGAGTTTTTCTGTGAATATGATTGGATAAGTACAGGGAATTATATCACACACCATTCTGAAGTGTGGTAAATGTTAACAGAGATTCCAACTTGCCAAATATAATTATAAAGTGTGAGTATGTGGAATGTGGAATTTAAAGACTTTGTACAATGTAAATAAGTTGTTTTACAAGTCCTAAGCATTTAATCCATGATCTTTTTAATTATGTAATATGCATTTGTGTATGTCAGTTGATTTAAAATATTTTACAAATGTGTAATCACTATGAAAATGATTTTTTATATTATTCATAAGAATTGATTTCAGTGTGCACTATGGTTAATCTTATGATTTTGCATATATCATATGCAACTGTGCACAGTATCTTGGAATACACTTTGACTGCTGTTCCTATTGAACATCAAAGAAACATTGTCTTTTAGTCTTTTTATATTGGTAACAATGACTCCTTACACTTATCTCTCTTTCTGTGCTAATATGAAAACAGATGTCCGTATATTGTGATGCTATTTTATAATTTGTATTGATGAGAAGCCACAAATTTGTCTGTCAGCAGATGGCAGGATGGTTTGTTTTCAATGATATTATCAACAAAAGAGTACAGAACTAAAGTAACTGGATATTCTGAGCAAGGTATCTAGAGTGGCCCCTTGTTACAGGTGGCTGCTGTGTCATCCTTCAAACCTCAGGTTAAGGTGAAGCCGCAGATCTTGCGTAAACCAGTTCTACCGGTCCCCCATCCCCACCACACTCAACCATCACCTGAACTCGTGCACAAGGAGAAAACACAGGAGCAGATGAACTGAATGGCCTCGGTGCTCCACCTGTCATGTTTCAATTATTTTATAAGACTGATTTTATTTAGCACCTGTTGGAAGTGTCTTTATAGAAAAGTTGTTTTATGAATAAAAACAAGAGTGCGTTTTTGAATTTCAGTGACAAAACTGTAATTTTGTATAAGCTGTACTATTCTCTATATATTGTGACAGTGTTCCTTTCCATAAAAGGGTATGATACAAAAAAATGCACTGAAAATGTTTCTCTTGATGTGATACAGGTGAATTTTTGTATTGATAGGCCTACTATATTATTGGACATTATTATATGTTTTTATTTGTATGTTTCTTTAATGCTATAGAATATTTGTTTTCAGATATTGCTTATTTGTGTGAGTTTTTCTGTGAATATGATTGGATAAGTACAGGGAATTATATCACACACCATTCTGAAGTGTGGTAAATGTTAACAGAGATTCCAACTTGCCAAATATAATTATAAAGTGTGAGTATGTGGAATGTGGAATTTAAAGACTTTGTACAATGTAAATAAGTTGTTTTACAAGTCCTAAGCATTTAATCCATGATCTTTTTAATTATGTAATATGCATTTGTGTATGTCAGTTGATTTAAAATATTTTACAAATGTGTAATCACTATGAAAATGATTTTTTATATTATTCATAAGAATTGATTTCAGTGTGCACTATGGTTAATCTTATGATTTTGCATATATCATATGCAACTGTGCACAGTATCTTGGAATACACTTTGACTGCTGTTCCTATTGAACATCAAAGAAACATTGTCTTTTAGTCTTTTTATATTGGTAACAATGACTCCTTACACTTATCTCTCTTTCTGTGCTAATATGAAAACAGATGTCCGTATATTGTGATGCTATTTTATAATTTGTATTGATGAGAAGCCACAAATTTGTCTGTCAGCAGATGGCAGGATGGTTTGTTTTCAATGATATTATCAACAAAAGAGTACAGAACTAAAGTAACTGGATATTCTGAGCAAGGTATCTTGTTTATTGTATGGAAAGGGTTAGGATCTGTGTGGGGTGAAACTGAGCAAGACCGCTTACACTCACTATAAAGTCAGATGTTTTGTCATTGTGTGTGTTTGATGAATTCAGCTATTGAGTTCCTGTCTTTAGACATTAAAATTATAGATGATTTTAAATACATCACAGTGTAATATACAGTGGTAATAGAAAAATAATGTACAAAATTAATGTAACTGATGTAAATGTACCATTATGAGGAGTTTATGGTAACACAGGCTGGTATTTTTGGTTATAAGTTTCAAATAATTTTTTATAGAGATATTTTTAAAATCACTCTTTTATGTGTTCTTTGCACAAAGTGTTTTAAATGTATAACCTACAAAACTACTCTGTTGTTGGTGAAATTTGATATTGACAGTCAGACAAAAAGCTGTGGAGCTTAAGTTTATTTTCAAACTAATTTCTCAAATATTAGTCATCACGTACTGAATGGATACAGAACATAAAAAATAGATCTCCAAGAGATAATTTTTGCCTCTACAGCAGATTTTTGTTTGTAATAAACAAACGTAAAGACCAACAAGAGTTGCAGAATATCATTGAACCCATTTTGAAAATATGAATGTGTACCAGATTGGGGAATATCTACATTCTTGGTCTCTGTACAAAACACACTGCATCAAACATCTTGGAAAAAAAATTTATATCACAGGAATACATGACAAGCTGAAGATGATGATAGAATTTTGATAGTTTTGTGTTCATATATTATTGTTTATAAATTTACCTCCACTTCATCATATGTTTGAATGGGGTGGCATATAATTAATTACCAAGGACAGATTTACCTTTCTACATGTTCCTGACTGCTGAGGTCTGATTGAGTACCAGTAGATGACAAATATCACCCTGAACATGAACAATATTCTAAAGTGAAATTTCTTTTGACTGTACTCTCATGCAAGAAATCAGTTTACATTGTTTCTGATTAATTCAAAATATATTTCTTCATCACTATGTAATCAGAAGACATTTGCTTCCAGTTTACAATAAAATATATTGTATGCCTTACAGGAAAATTATAGCCTATGTTCATAAGATGGTCCATTGTAGTAAGCAAAGAATACATGTCTGTGCTTTATGTATTTAGGTATAAAGTCAAACATAGCTTTACATGTTCAAGAAACAAGAAAATGTATTAGTTTTTTATGAGACTTTTTCTTTGCATGTAGGTTGCAATGTCTAGCACAAATGACAAATAATGATGTGATGTACATTGTTTCCAAGGGGAAAATGTGTTTATTATGTGGTTGTACTGTACAGCAGTATCATGTTCATTCATACTACACATCTCTCTTCTTTATTACTTTTGCAGTCCTACCAACTGAAACATACTTCAGTGTGCAAATATCAGGAATTATGTGAAAACTCTTTCAGCAATTTTTTAAATGTATTTGTGATATGCAGTGTATAAATATTTTATATCATTATACTTCAAAGAAGAGTCAGAACTGGGGGGGAAATAACACCAAAGTTGATGTTTACTTGGTAGACTGGAGTTTTTGAGACTGATGTATACCGAAGGAATGTATTAGTGTTTAATTAATGGGGAGTAACAAATAAATGCATGAACTTATAATCCAAGGAAATTGCTTCCAGTTTTTCAGTATTATTCAGTGAAGATATTGTGCTTCATCCTAAGATGAGATTTTTTTCTATAAACAGTTTCTGAAAGAGCATAATTAATTGTTGCTGTGGTGTCAGCAGCTGCTCTTTGACATTTTTACCAATGTACTGTACTTTTAGTTTACATTACACTATACTTGTAAACAGTCGACAGTTGTAATTCATTACCAATGTCATAATAAACCACTAAAATTCTGTGAAGTCTTCAGGTTTTCATGCTGAACATTATAGGCAATTTTGTTTCTTATTCAGGAGAACATTGACCAATAGGAAATAGTGAATGACCCTATCATGAAACCATTTTCTCAGATTCAATGCATGTGGAACATCTGGTCAAAATGACCCAATCATTATTGTCATAAAATGGCTAATCATTTGTTATAAATTGAAAAGTACTGTAATCTGCAGTAGTGGTTGCCCCGCTTTCATGATGTTTTGTGTTGCTTAACCTGGCCTTTTGCAGGAAGCAGTACCTTAGCTCTGGTTAGTAAATATTTGTTTCATTAAAGATTGAAGATGCTGTACTGTAATGTTTTTTTTAATTTCAGTTGATAGATTAATAGAACAGAGTAAAATGCAAAGGACTACTTATTCCAAATCTTTATTTTGAATATTAAACAAAAATTCAAGTCAAATTATTTCTGCAACAAAAATGTTTTCTATACTTGATGAAAGACTCTTGGGTTATTCATCATTAACCTTTATGGGGATAAGACATTAGTATAACTGTAGATATCACAACAAAATGGTCCAAGTTTATGCATATCTGAGACCTTCCCAACAAACCAGATTGAAGAATATTAAGCTTTTCTACATAAAACGATTCAGTACATTTAAGTAAGGGGATTTTGAAAGTGTATGAAATTTCTTTTAAGGAACTGCTGATTGCCTTTCTCCTGATGGGTGTGTGCACACATTTTAAAAATTGGAGTTGACTGCTGGGATGTAAAATTAATGAGATTGTGAATTCGATAGTAGCTAACCTTTTTGGCGACAGCTTTTGGCAGTGGTCCCTACTATCAGATCGTTTTGTAGTAGTACCAAAATATTGTCCAATAGATGGTAGGACTATGTGTGTGTGTGTGTATGGCGTCATTCGGTGACTTTGTGGTCTTATAGGTTGGTAACGCGCTGTTGTATTGTGATTGATTGAGATAAGAATATAGCAGTAAACTGAAGATAATGTGTGTATTTCTAAATATAAGTTGTTGATTTTTTTTAGGATAATGTAATAGTGGTTGTTAGGTATTGTTTCGTACGAAATTACATTGCTGTGAATGCAACAGCTGGAGGACGTAGATGCAGGAATGAAATGTTTGGTTATGTGACTATTGACTGAATTACGTTAAGGAACCATAGTTGGTCGTTGCTGCGTTGGATGTTATTATTACGGTAAATACTCTGCAAGGCATTTAGTTTTCTCACCATATGTCTTTCTTTTTTGCTTTTAGTATTGGCTAGTTATGGAACTAGCCATGTTGCGTGTGCCTGCAGTGGATTGTGTCAAATGTTTTTGTATACTATAGGAACTGTTATGAAGCCCTTTGTTAAGGTGTACGAATTTGTAATGTTTGCTTTAAAACCCCAAAATAAGACAGTAGCTGAAGTAATATCTTCAAAATATAAAAGCATTACAAATTTAAAATTTCTCGAAAACACCAAAGTAAAGCATATTAAATAATTGATATGAAACAGTATGTTTAAATTTTGAAAGCTCTACATTCTTATGATTTCAGTTTGAAAACCCCCAAATTTGTGTTATGAGTGTAAATGAGATTGGGAACAGTAACATGCGTATGGTCCTGAAAATGTAATGTGTGACATACATGCACTGAAGATATAGTTCAGTAGTATATTGAAAATTGCTGTTAAATGGTGATGCAACAGTGAGTATGTAACTGACCTAATTTATCCAGTCTCTGAATCTGAGTTTGCTGGAAATGCATAAAATTAAAGTATGTGTACATATGAGCAGGTTTCTTTTTAATTTTGTAACACGTTTGCTAGTAAGTGATCACTGTATTGTGTAGTTATACTGATACAACATTCACAATGGGTTTTATGTTTATAGAATTAGATTGTCTCATGATATTAATCTGTAAGTTTTGTTTAATTTTATAGACATGGAAATGGACGAGATAGTACATCATATTTTTGGGAGGGAGATTGAGATGTCCAAAATATGTGAGCCTGATCCTTCAACATCATCATCACTTTCAAAGTAAGTTTTTTTCTAAAATGAGAAGAGTACAAATTGTATGTCAGATGTATCAGAAAATAGCATTGTAAATTAAGCCATGCATTTAGTACTGAGATTTATCTTTATTATGCTGATGTCATATTCTGTTACAGAAAGTCAAAGTGTATTGAATGTGTTTACCAGTGGGTGAACAGACTGATGGAAGAGATGGGTCCACTGCAAGACAAGCGAGTATTTCCTGTTGATACAAGAGAAGGAAGATTAGGTCCTGCTACAGTCTGTTTGGATACCACCTCGCATGTTGGGCTGTTCGTTGTTGGTGCAGATCGACTGAGCATAAATTCTCAAAGTAACTTCAGCACCATTCGAGCCAATGTTTGTCTCTACAGAGGTAAGATTGCAACACTGAAGGTCCTTCTTAAGCCCAGAGTTTGTCATATGGCAGTCTGCGACATTTTGAATCAGCTGCATTTCCATACATGTAATAGCATTGAGATTCTTTAAGCGTTATATAGCTGTCTTCTGGGTTGTAGCACTGTGTAGTCTTGTAGAAGTTTGCCATTGTTTAAGAGGTGCTTGCTGCTTCCATCATCATGGTGGCAGACTTCGTGGCACAATATCTTAGAAGACTAATTCTTGAGCTAATTTGTTATTTTCCTCAGTCTCTCCAGGCATATGCCAGAATAGTTCTTTGGATTAAGCTGGCTCTTGCTGCCTCTTTCAAAGTTTTAGCATACTCATCGTCTCCCATGCTGCTGTATAATGTCTGCAGACATGAAGTACTTTAAGAATCTAACTGATTCTGATATTTTGTTTGTTTTTTAGGTAAATGGCAGTATGAAGTCCAATTGGGTTCCAAAGGTGTCATGCAAATTGGGTGGGCCACCAGTTTTTGTAAATTCTCTCAGGAAACTGGTGTTGGTAAGTTGTGACATCCTTACACATTTCTTCTGAGGATGGGATTGGTAGGGTATATAACATGCAGTAAGAAATTTGTGCAAAACTTTTGTTGGAGATCCTGAAGGGAAGGGTCCGCTTAGAAAATCTGGGCATGGATGGTAAGATAATATTAAAATTGTTCGTAAGGAAATGGTGGTGAGGGGTGGATTGGTAATGGTGGCAGGGGAAGTGTGACAAGAAGCTTCAGTGGTCCATTACATTACATCACAGAAAATGTTGAGAATGAAGTTTGTGCACCAGCTGTCTCTCATTTTGTATGGCCGCTGTCGTAATTAGTTATTCTCATTGAACAGCGTTGGTAGAATTTAAACCACTCGTGGAAAGTAGTTTGCTGTTTTTGTTTTGTGGACCACTATTGAGGATCATTATTGTTGTCATTGCCGTAGGGGACACAGTCCACTCCTTTGCATACGATGGCAACCGTGTCCGTAAGTGGAACGTTTCGACACACAGATATGGAGAGGCCTGGCTTAGTGGGGACATTGTCGGATGTACGATTGATCTGGATTCTGGAGTACTGGAATTTTACAGGCAAGTATTTGATGGATTAATTTGTGCTGTTCTCAACATTTTAATTAACAACGTAGCTATAGCAGAACCTGGAGTTCAACATTTCTAATACAGAAGCCTGCTGTTTGTTGCACTTCTGAGCTACACCCATCAACCATCAGTTCCCACAGTTGCTTCTTAAGATCCATCCAATCTCCTTCTTGGTTTTCCAAGTGGCCATTTTCAATTAAGTTTCCCCGTCAATATTCTGTTTGCATTCTTGTCTCTCCTCTTAGATTTCACTATGATAATCTATGATGTGCTGTGCTATATTAGGTGACCTGTATAAATTACAAAGTTCCTTGTTATTTGATATTGTAAATTACTCATTCATTTCACTCTTTTTAATTTCAAGAATCTACCTGAATAACCAAGAAACAATTCTACCAATTAGTTATAGAACCAACACTACTATATGGCAGCGAGAGCTGGCCAAACTTAAATAAATATTCATCTAAAGTTACAGCGGTGAAAATGAAATGTCTCAGAAAATCAACAGGGAAGACGCGCAGGGATAGAATAAGGAACATCAAAATTAGAGAAGAGGTTGGAACTAAATCATTTAAAACAAAATTGGAAGAAAAACAACTGAAATGGTTTGGACATGTTGTTCAAATGGCAGACGAAACAGTTTTTGGAAGCTAGAGTTGAGGGTACTAGAACAAGAGGAAGATCTAGAAAGAGCTACTTGGATACTATTAGAGAAATAGGACATACAAAGGGGAAAAGTTTAACGCAGATGAAATTCTTAGCAAGGGATAAGAAGGAATGGAAGAGGTGGACTGAGGAATCAACCCTGACGCTATAAAGGCAAAAAGGGAGATGAGAAAGAAGAAGAAGAAGAATCTACCTGAATTACTTGTTTTCATGTATTTATATGTGTGAAGCTTTGTTCTGAATTGGACTGGCCCTCCATTGATTTAGTATTAGGCTGTCTTGAACTTGGTACTGAAGGTCTGTGTTCATTGACCAGCTCAGTAACTATCAGCTGCTTATGAAGATGCAGAACCACACAGTCAATTAGGAAATAATGGCAGGCTATAAACATTTGGACTAAAACAGGAATTTAAGTATGATGAAAGAATTAAATACGCTATCAATATGGAATTTATCGAGAATTACAAAACTAACTGGGAAACCATATATTCTTTGAATACCTTGCTTAAGAATTCCATTTGAAATTCTCCATTACCAACCAAATCATCAAAGATCTTTGGGGAGACTACAAATGTTGGCATGAGGCTATAAAGGCTACTGGGTCTAAGATATGGAAAGTTAATGATGATAATTGCTCTACTTGATATGTAACTGGTTAGTTGGATAATTTTTTTTTGTCTCTGTCGCTGTGTCACATATGTTCACTTTTCTGTACAGGAATGGAAGGTCCATGGGGAAGGCCTTTGACAACATCCAGATTGGACCGGGCATGGCCTACTTTCCTGCTGTCAGTCTAGCATTTACAGAAAATCTGGTGGTAAACTTTGGCTCAACTCCGTTGAGGTATCCGGTTCCAGGTTTTGAGCCAATTCAGGAAGCATTGTTTCATGATGTGGCTAAGGCAGAACAGCTTTTCAAATGGCTCTCGCAGCTTCTCGTGCTATTCGACCATAAGTTTGAGGTGGGTTAACAGAATAAATAAATTCTGACTTGCAAAGTTATTTGTTAATAAACTCCTGTAAAAAGAATTTTGCTAGTGGAAATATACATACTTGCGTCTTGGGAGTTGAGGTGGAAGGACATGCAGTGCCTTTCAGTCACCTTTGCAGGTAAACTGAAGGAATGGGTGACCCATAACTTTCTTAAATGAAGAGGGAAACTCTCATATTTGAGATTCAAGATTCCCACATCAGTGAAGAACAAGTCTGCATGGCGGCATAAACCAGAATACTATAATCAACGGACGGAGTCTCATATTGGCCACAGGGCTTGTGTTCTTTGAGGCGTTGCTCGTTTGATGATGCCGTTAAGGTTCTGTTGGATGTGATTCCAGCTGAAGACAAGTGGTGGGACTTCTTACATCACATTTTCAAGTTATGTGTACTGTAGTGGTACTTTTTTCCTGCTTCCCCTAATGTCTGCATTCCACTTCTGCTGTTACATTGTGATGTAACATGCCATTTATTTGTTGAAGTTAATCAGCTTTTCTTCTAGATAATATTTAAAGATTAGAGTCCAACTGGCAATGTTGAGATGTGTTGTAGAATTTCAGTCTTATAATTTTAGTTTCACTTACATTCATTTATAACTCCAAGTGTGTACCTGTTGACTAAATATGAAAATTGAAAATATGACTTGTTGATTTCTCTCTAGGAACTATATTGGCAGCGACGACAAGGAGTACCTCCCTCATGATTTATCTCTCTTGTCAGATGCGAGGTCAGGATGTATCGCAGTCTGATGAACCAATTACCAACCAGGCCCTGTTGATGGGGCTTGCTCGGATTTTTCTCCACCCTCTGGCTCCTTTACTACTGTCCCCATACATCACTGAAGCCTGCCTTGTTCCATTCCTCAAGAGTCTCTGCAACCTCTCGTCAGTCTCCGGGCACTCCGAGAACAAGACCCCAAGTGACAAGAAGCGTAGACTCATGCTGTTCCTGGACATGATGTGGGCGTTCCTAGAGGTGAGCCTCTGCAGTAACATGTTTCTCTTTTCAGGTAGGTTGTTATGGTAGTAAAACTCTGTAGAGTTATATGTGGACAGTACCTGGTTTGAATCCCAGCCAGTCTACTATCTACTTTGCTATTTGATCTGTTCCTTGGTCTCTCCATTTGAAAGTTGGACATTACTCTTTTAGATCACTGTACATTAGTTTCAGTTCTTCAGACTTTATTTATAATTTTGGATGAAAGAAGTTCAGTAAATTGAAATTAATTATGTTACACCATAATGAGAAATGCTCAGAAATATATTACTGTACATGTTACTAGATTACTGAAAAGTCTGAGTAGGATCTGCGGACAGATTGCACGTTTCAGTCGTTTAATGAATCCGCTTCACAATGATATGTGTTGCTGTAAAGTGGCCAGCTGGTGGACATACATGCGCGCCAGACTCTGCCTGGACGTGATTGTAAAAATAAGACAGGCAATTTCTCTTGTGAAAGTTTTGATTTGGTGATCATGTTTCAGGAGCATGAGTTGAAAAAGTGCCTAGAGAGTGTCGTGACCTGCTTGCTGGCAAGGTTCCGACAAGTGTCCTTTGTTCTGGACTATCCACATCAGAAGCAATCTCTCCTACTCCTCTTGTCTCTTGTACACCACCCTCGAACCAGGCAACATCTGCTTGAGAACGTACTCTTCGATAAAGTGAGGTGACCGACATTTTATATGTAAGCTCACAAAATAATTAAAAGAGAAATATTCAGACTTCCACAAAAGTCTGAATGTTGGCGACTCTTATTGTCCACATCATTTATATTGGCTTTTTACGGAAGGGGGACTAGAAGGGCGAGAGGTTAGGATAACATAATTTATTCAGTGTTTCCATCCAAAATAACATTTTTCTGTTGTGCACACGTGATCAGCATGCACATGTAAGTAAGAAGTGAACATATCCGTGCAGAATGTTTATTTCGTTTGTGAATACCTTCTGTGCTGTCCTGTCGTGTGAACCAAGCTGTGACAAACCACGCCAAGGCCTTCACTATGGATTACAGATGTGCACTGACAGCGTCATAGCCTAGCCATGGTTTATCCTCAAGTTATAACTATAACTTGCCTCCTCATTTACGTGTTTTTTTTATTTACATTGCAATTTTAGGTATGCATCTCCCATGTACTTCTTGTAAAAACAAATTCTTTTAAATTGTGTTAACAAACAATATTTTTGTAATTGTTTTCTGCATCACATGCCTTTGTTTATTTATTTTTGTGTTTTTTTTTTTAGGTTTGCCAACTTTCTTCATGTGAAACCACTGGATGAGGGTGGTTTAGTAGAGGTCGTGAACCATACCTGGTGGGATAACAATTGTGAAGATCAGAGAGTGGAACGGAATAGGGCCTCCTACTTCATGGCATGTCAGAAAATTAAGGAAGCCATAGCAAGTAATGACACGATATTACAGTGATATCGTTAGAATTGTATGCATGTTTATTTATCTTGTTTCTTTCCAGTGGAGTAGGGCAGAGAGGAAATTAGTTTGAAAGTGTTTGGATCCTCTGTGTAATTATCTTCATCACTTACCTTTCTGTCATCTCTGGCAAATAATAGTTCGTTGAATGTGAGATGTGCCATGCCCTCACTAGGGCTGTATTTAAGCTAAGGTTAAGGGCAAGGGGTTTGTAAGGTCACCCACTTAAGAATATAAGGTACAGGGTGTGCCCATTAAGCCACAGGTCTTCTCCGCCAGTCTTCATCACTGTCATCCTGTCAGTGGGCACAAATCGATTCCCATTCTGCGAGTTCACCCGTCTAAGTACGAAGATTGCTACCTTCATCCAGGTTTGTCAATAACCAAAATTTCTGCTAAAAATGATTATTTCTTGTGAGTGAATCCATTGGCATCGTGGCCTCAAATGGACCTCTTGTGGCAGCCCCTGACAATGATGCAGATGAATGTTTAGCATTGGATGGAATGGTGACTGGCAGAGAAACTCTCGCTGTTGGTGGAGTCAGTTGAATCTGATTCAATGGCACAGAGTTGAATTTAGTAGATGTTTTTGATGTCTGAAACATCTCAGCTTTTTTTTTTTTTTTTTTGTGATGCCCACATCAGGTGTGGAAACTCTGCAGATAGAGCTCCTGAAAACGCTGTTGGACAATTCTGATGGCACCACTACACAAGCATCATCCAGGAAGATATTTCTGCGTAAATTTCGAACGTTTCTGCGTGAGAATGTCCTGTCTAGTCGAGTGAGTTACCGTCTTTGATATCGTCAATAACCCTTTGATTTGCTGAGTTTTAGAATTTTTTTTTATCTTCTTATATTTGAACTGTAACAGGTGTTTCTCCTTTTTAATATGTGTTTCTTGCTCAGTAAAGAATCATAATTTTGCAGTATTATAATGCTTTCAACTTCACTACAAGTGGCAAGTGTGTGTTGGGGAACTCCTAAGTTGTGGTAGTGTATGCTACAACGCAGTAATGTTAGTCTTTGATGCTACATCTGGCAAATGCAGCATATCAGGAATCTCAGATTGTGGAAGTGGAACACAGTTTTTTAATTACAAATTTATGTACTTGCTACACCTCATAGAATGAAGCATTTGAAGGATAGTAGGTCTCACAAAATCATCCCAGATCTTATTGTTTCAAATCTTGCTGTTTTAAATTTGTTTCAGACATTGTTGCTTCTTCAGATTCCTCTCCCTATAACCCTTTGCTGTTTTCATCGCCTCCTCGTTACCTTTCGTGCCCTATGGGAGCTTGAAGTGGGCAAGTACCCTATTGTAATTCCAGCAAGAACTTTTTATGATGGTTCAGTCAATTACTACAACATTGATCGTCTGGGTGGTGTGCTTTCGCATCTCAACAAGACTCTAAAGGTTGACCTCATGAGAGTGCTGGGGCCAGATCACTCTATAATGACAAATATAGAATCATCAGCAAGCCAGCCCCAGAACATGGGTAAGAGTCATATTCAAATATGAAACTTGATGTTTTGAAGATGGTCTGTATTAATTTTAGAGTCTTATGATATTTCATTGTGCCAAAATATAAAAATTATTGATGTTTCAGAAAAGATTGAAGAACGCTTTATGTGTTACAGGTATGGAAGCAGGTGCAGCATTTATCTCGAATCCATCTGTGAGCGTGGGACCACAGTTTACTGATGGACATGCCACTTTCATGATACCTGTGTTAGCACGCGTGTTGGCGCAGCAGCAGCCATCATCAAGCCCAACGTTGGCAGAGAGAGTTCCTGGGGAAGGGTTACAAGAACAGAAGGCAAAGGGTGGCTCTGTGGATTCTGCAGCCTCACTCGTTGAGCTTCTAGATGGTCTCGTTCTGTTCTACCATGTGTCTGCTCACAAGCAGCTTGCCAAGGTGCAATTCATTGATTATTTAACTTCATATAATACTACTTACATGTATAGATGATGCCAGAGTATCTATTCAAACTTGAAGGCCTCTTTGACTTCCTGAAATGTACAGTGAGTTAACTGTATGCCCCTAAGCTGAACACCACCCTTATGGGTCTGTGCGATAGCTTATTCAATCTATCAGCAGCTACCCACTATCCCTTGAGACCGTTGTCTTTACTGACACTCTGAGGACGCATCATGTAAGGTGACAGCGAGGCACTCATTAAACATGGTAGTCTGCTAGCCGTGTGGATTGGAGGGGGACCCGTGCATGTGCCTCAAGCAGAGGCCATAGGCAAGCGATAAGCAGATAACCACAAGATTTGATTCGAGGTTTTTCAATGTGACAGTGTCTTAAAACTCCAGTTTGTCCATTTGTCTTATCTAGTTTCTTATCTTAAAAATTCAGGTTCTTTCCTGAAGCCACGTCTTTTTTATCCCCATCCAACCGCCTATCAAGAGAGTTCTAAGAGCTCTTTTCCTGAGATTGATGGTGTGTTTTGTGCACAGGTGAGCACTCTGCGGGAAAGCATGAGTGAGTACTCAACGGCGCTGGGCAGCGTTACTGCGCGGCTTGATACCTACAGACATCTGTCTCCTAATATGTCAGTTGAAGAGAACTCGGCTGATATTATATGTGATTTGGAGCAATCTAGTGGTGTTTTTGAGCAGAAATTGAGTGAGCAGGCTCGCCACATGGCATGGGTAAGTTATCAAGGCAGAGTGGTATTGTGTATCATACTTTAATAACATGACTTTGTTATGAGAAAAGTGGGAAAGTTTTGTAAACATGTTTAGGATGCTGTTTTCTTTATTTTGTTAATGTTAAGTTTATTTAATGTAATATCAATTTGTTTGTTTAATTTTGCATTGCAATGTTTACTTTTGTTTACTTTTATTTTACTTTGATTTGATTTATGTAATTTTGTTTTTCTTTTACATGAAATTATTTTGTCCCCCTACATATTGTCACACTCTTTTACAATTTCACCTTGTAATTAAATTAAAATTTTACTTTCTCTGTGTGTGTTGTTCTGTTGCCAGGTTCGTGCTACAGTGTTTTCGTCTGACAAACAGAGTCATCTGGCTTGGCTGTTAAGAGTGATTCTACAGACAGTGAAACTGGCCTCAAAAGAAGGACAACTTTTTGCTTATGTACCTGATTTTTATATAGACTCCCTTGTTGAAATATGTGCTGCCCTGCGCACCTATGTGCATCCAACATCTCCTCTAGAAAATATAGAAGGTATGAAATTGCCACTGTGTACATTTTCTTGTGTTAAGATTCGGTGAATTCAGTTTTCTAATATGTGACTGGTATATTCAATACGGTATTATGCATAAATATAGGCTAGTGTCCTTATTACGACAGTATTGCGGGCTCCGCAGCCAATATTTAGCTACATTTTAATACAGACTTGTGATCTCATTGCCAGCCTACGGCCACTGATTCGCTCTGTAAAGAAATTTAAATATAAATTTGTACAATTTACAAAAGCAGATTAAATACGGAGCAAATGGGGCTGTTGGTTCAACCAACATTAGTGATAAATGACAAAAGAATATAATTCCTATGTATCTGTGATATTTGCTGTAAATGGTTAGGTTTGGCCATGTAATAATCTATCAGATTTTGTTTGTGATATTTGTTACAGGTTATGAAGATTTGCTTATTGAGGTATCTGAGTTCTTGTGTGACCATTTCTCAGATCCAAGAATTGTACATGCAAGTTCCAAAGACACATTAATACAAGCATTGGCCAGTTTTGCTTGTAGCCCAAACACACTTTTGGCACTAGAGAGAGTTCCATATTCCAGGTAGGCAGGCAACGTAGCTGAGGACACTTTTGATCATTCTGATTCTGTAAAAAAAATGTTGAATAAATACATTCTGCAACTCTGAAGAATGAGGTATCATTATCCTTCATATTAGTTGTAGCAGTATTATTTATTCCTGTGGTGCTTACCCAAAAATGACACAACATAATTTGAATTTTAAGTTACATCACCATCTCAGTTAATGTCACTTGCTTTACGCAGAGGTTGGGTCTCGGCTAAAACTGACACAATATGGCTTTGTCAAAATGAGAGCTTACTGTTTTCAGCTTTATAACAAGCTTAATTCACGTGTTTGGTTTCAGTCGTATGAATATGGTCCGGTCATTGCTTCGTCCGTATGAAAACCGGGCATGGGCACAGAGCAACTGGGTTCTAGTCAGAATTTGGCAAGGCTGTGGATTTGCTTTCCGATACCACAAGTCTCCGCATCTTCTCTGGAAACATGGACCTAAACTACTCCAGGCAGACTCTAGTCTCATTAGCCAATGCATAAGTATGCAACTTTCACTGCTTTATAGGGGGTCATAAATCATCACTACAGTCTTAAAGACACAGTTACATATCGCAACATTACAAAATTGACTGTTACTGTATCAGTTGCAATGAACTTCTTAGTTGTTATTTTTTTCTTTACTATTTTGATAATTTTAATAGAAAAATTAATAACTATGGACTTCAGGTGGTGAGATACAATTAGAACTGATTAAATAAAAATTTTACTTACTTTAGTATTTATTTTCAGTTTTGTCTCTTATTTATTGTAGAGCCTTGTCCGTCGCGTCTGTTCCAAGGCCATGTGAAGGAAGTGATGATGTCTGATGAAGCTCTGACCACAGCATTCCTTAACTCACTGCTGAATCAGCTAAACTGGGCATTCTCCGAGTTCATAGGCATGTTGCAAGAGGTAGCATTATATTAAATTATTGCGTGCTTTGTTTCATATTTCTCACGCTCTTCATTAATGATAACTTGTGTTGTATTGTGCTTGTTACAGATTCAGAATGTTTCCAGCCATCCTGAGCGAGTTTTTATCGAGTCAAGACAGCTTAAAATTTGTGCCACTTGCTTCGATCTCACGTTGGCGTTGTTAAGGGTACTTGAAATGGTTGTGAGCATTGCGCCAGAGATCTTCACAGATATAATGAGAAGTTCTTCAGAGCTGCTGCTAGCTCGACTCTGTCAGGCACGTATCAGTTTAGAGCAAAGAGGCTAATTTTTCAAATGGAAGAAAATAGTCGTTTCGGTGCTGTTATGATAGAAACTGAAATATGCGTTGGAAACTATGGAGGGGAGGTTTTTATAACTAGTGCTGTAGAGTTGTGTTTGATGGAAACCTGGTATGAGTCTCAATTTTAATATCTTTGTGAACTCATGGATGCTAATTCCAGTATGGTGCTGAAGTTTAAATGGTTCCATAGTTAAGAGACCAATGGGGAGACCGAGACGTAGATGGAAGGATATCAGGCAGGATCTATGGGGGATAGGAGTTGAAGGAGACTGGATTTTGTTGGCCCAGGACAGGGTCCGGTGGAGGTCTTTGGTTAATTCGGTGATGAACCTTCGTGTTCGGTAAGCCATCTAGTTGGTTGGTTAGTTAGGTAACAGACTTTGGTATTCCACGCTTGATGACTCATTTTGATGCACATATGATAATGTTTAATTTTTATGGTCCCTTCATTTTTGTCACAGTCTTATGTTCTGTCCATTTGAGTTTACCTCAGTTTTATATGAGAATTCACCGTCTCCTAAGAAACCGTGAATGGAGATTTCACCGTATATTGTTGCTATTATCCAAATATTCCGATGTTCTTTTATGCTTGCAGTTGCTGTGTCAGGTCCTGAATCGCGTGAGCTCGCAGGCCGGTTGCTTCCAGCATGTTGTGATGTTGGACATACCAGACCTTGAAACAGTGGACCATTTTCCAATCCTGGCTGCTGTAGTGGGAATCCTGTTGGCTATCTTACGTGATGACATTCAGAAGTTTGATGGTTCGTTGTAATTTGAAGTTATCAGACGGTTCTGTGCCGGGAGAGGTTTCATGATGCTCTTACTTCATATTTGGATGAATGGGTTCAATTCTTGGGCAGGAGGTTGAATTGTGTGACTGAGATGTTCTTGACTTTTTTCAGGCCCTCCAGGAAATTTCTGGAATGTTACTTTAAAGTTGGGTGCACGTTACAAATTTTTATATGACAGTTCTGTTTTCTTTCCCTGTTGTGTTTCAGTCAAAGTCAGTGTAGTGCCTGAAATCACAAAAGTTCTTCTCACTGAACCGAGTTTCCAATTGAAATCGGTGAATTTTGTCTTTGGTGACTTGCAGAAGGGATCGAAGCTTCAGAAAATGAAGCCCTTCTCTTTTTACAATTGTGAGTATTACAAGAGGACTGATTTGTGATATGTTAAACACAAATGCTTAATTTGTGACAGAGGCCATTGATACTAGCTGTAGAAAACTTTTACAACTCATATAAATGTTAATGTCCATTGTGTCACTTTTACAGTTGTATTGAAACATGAAATAATTGTACAAATCTCAAGAAATCTGATCTGTGAGAGCTAAAAATTCGTATGATTTGAGGCATTTTTATGATACTGCCAGCAGAAAATTTTCATTGTGACACGTTCATTGGTCTTGGATCTTTTACCAATGATCTGTGTTTCTTTTGTCGGGTGTTTTACCATACATGGCAACATCTGAATTCAGATGCTTAAACACGAACAAATTCGAGATTTTCCCAATGCATCGTGTTTCGTTTTATGCCTCTGTTTCAGATTCAGATGATGTGAGTTTTGCAGAGATAGAAGAGGTGAAACAAATGATTCAACTGCTGAATTTTTACCAAGGACGACTAACAGATGTTAGGACTTTATCAGAAGATGAACTTTGTACCATTTGCTATGCATATTCCATCTCGGCCACCTTCAAACCATGTAACCATCAATCTTGCAGGTATAGTTCATACTATGACTTCATGTCACAGCTTCCTTGAATGATTTTTGTACTGTGTGTGCAGTGTGCATCTTCCATGCATCAGTTTGCCGTACTGTTGTCAGAAGGCCACTTTCTGAGTTTTCGATTTTAGCCATGTAAATAGTATGATATGACGTTATTGAGAATTTGTGATTAATGTACCATACCCAAGTTTTTACCATGTGACCACCTCACATTTTATTTTGATGCTAATCATGTTTCTGTAGTTTTTTTAAATGATTTTTTGTAATGAATGAGTTGACTGCCATTTTCTAGGCAACACGGATTCTTCTTAGTGCTCATACAGTACCACGTAGATGGTATGTAATAGCTGAAATAAAATGAAACCTGAACTAAGCAAAGATGTTGACATAGAATCATCTACTTGTGCATGTGGCAAAGTTTTCTCTGAATGCAGTATTTTAGGTTATTGTGGGCGGTAAATCCTAGCTTTTAATATGCACACTTGAATTTACTAGAAGGATGACTGATAGATATTCCTCAGTTACTATATGCAGACCATTCTGATAAGCATGTCATTCATATCTTTATGGCCTGGTTGTTTATGCAAATTTCCAGAAGAATTTTCTTCAGAATATTAACTGTGTATTAATGATGTCAAGTGTTCATTTGCAGAACCTGCATTGCCCATCATCTGATGAACTCAAGAGACTGCTTCTTCTGCAAGGCACCTATTCAATTTGTTATTGGTCTTGATGATAAAATGCTTCATGATTTATCAAAACTTGAAAATCCAGACGGTTAAAACTATTTTGATGAAATTATTCCTGTGTGTGTTGTGTAAATGATTAGTTTACACCATTCAGCTTTCATAGTATGATGAAGCATATGCATAGTTAGCATAATATGAGGTTAAGTATTTTTTTTAAAATGAATTATGAGAGAAAGTATTTGATTTTTAGAGGATGTAAGGTATTTATAAATGGCAAATTTGAAATTATTTTTTAATGTTATTAATTTATATTTCTTTAATGCTACAGAGTTCTCACTTCATTAATCTTAAATTTTTAAACAGATCATTAGTTCCAATTTTGTGTTTGGTGTAGCTGCAGTAGGCTTTTATAATGAAACAAATGAAGTTCAGTTTGCACCAGCAGTCTGTAAGAGTCTTTGTTAGCATATCATAAATATGTAGTGTGAAGAGTGGGTTTTATTTTGAAAAATTAATTGTGAAAGAGTTAAATTTGTGAAGACAGAAAGTGAAGTATTTGAGCAATACAGAATGTAACATGGGTCTTGCCTGTCAGGAAATTAGGTATTGTACATATGTATTAAATATGTATGATTTTTGCAAACATGTTTAAAGTGACCTAGTATAAATACATTATTAAAATATATTTTAAGCCATTCTGATTTTAACAATATACAGTGAAATGTTTATTTTTTCAGGTAATTTTGCTAGTTCACATCTTGTTCAGGAATATATAACCTCATTCTTGTCCAAGGTTTTCATAGATGTGGTATAATGTATAACTTCATCTTTCAGGGATAAGCTGCTAGATCTTTTATAAGAACTTCCTTGCATCTAATAACCCTTAAGATGGCAACTAAGTTATTTTCCAAAAACTTTGAAAACCTCCAACAACTGTAATGGCTTATCTCAAAAAGTTGAAGCCACATAACACATAACCTAATTTAAAATAAATTTGTAATAAGAGAGATGCAAAAACCACACACAGTATTACATTAAGTGCGGTTAAGAGGGCCTTTTCAATGATTGTAGCTGCCTAATTTTGTAATATTTCTGGCCTGTATTTATCGGTTGTGGTTTGTGTTCCGAGTATCTCGTGAACCAAAGCTAATGCCCATTTACTTAGTTCTTAGGCTGGTATTTCAGTCATTTTTGATGGCATTATGAAAGACATTTGTATTGAAAGGACATCATGATGATAATTCATATACAAGGAATTTTCTCTTCTTAATAGAATAGTTTTCTGTAATCGCTCTTTTATGAAACTTAAATCTTATGATAGAGGGTTCCCCTAAGTGCACTGTGAAATGCAACTTTATTTACTAGATTATACACCATCTGCTTTAGCGCTTGCAGAACTGCTGGATGCTCTATTTTTAAAAACAAATATGCTGTGATAAACTACCAAGTCTCTTGCTTGTGGTTTTTTCATGTATCCATATTCAAGTTAAAAATTCTGAGGATGCCTTAGAAGGAAAAACTGTGACACTCGAGATTCTGGGTTCCAATAGAAATGTGTTGTTTGTGTGATGTACATGTAATTGCAGATTTTGCTTCAGAAGTGTGCACAGACAGAATACAAGAAATGGCGATAACTCTGGTCAGAGGGGCATATAAAGATCGGTAGATGGGGGAACTGGATTTAATTCCCGCGATACCAAAGGGCAGTGTTCCTCAGCCAGTGGTTCACAGATCACTGCCGCTCCGTGGCTTAATTTGTTCTCGTTCGCTAATTCTGTGCAGTGTTGCACTGTATGTATTTAAAAACTGGTGAAATTACTGTTCCGAAGTAGCGAGTAATTTATTTTTCACCAACTCGGTGGTTAATGTCGAGGAACATTATTACATTTCCATCTCTCCCCGCCCCTTTTCCTGTTTAACATCCGTTTTAATAATATCCAGAGTCACTGTAAAGTTTGAATGAGATTTTACTCGCATATTGAAAATTAAGCACTGTTGACGGATGTCACAAACAACTTCTGGTGTTGAAATATTAAATTATTTAAATGCAACATTTGGATGAATATTTTTTATTTCTCTCACTTCACAGTGGAAGGGCTAATGTCCGTAAACAATAATTTGGTGACTTGTGTAGGGTTTTAAATGTAAATTGGAGTTTTTAGCTTTTATGTACTGTAACATTCTCAGTTGCAGGGGTCAGTTCACGTATTGTAATAATTTACAGTTGGACTAAAAGACTTCGAAATGCGTGAAGGAGTCAACTATAAATATTACTTGAGGGAGATTTGTCTGTAATGTGCTTTAATAAATTGAAAGACTGGTTTCAAGTTAAATGTATTCTTGATCATGTGTGTATGAAGGAAATGTAATGTAATCTGTTCTTTCAAAAATTTTGTTGTTTTTATTTTTACCGTGTTGTTTTTGGAATGTTTTTGTGTTACGTGTGTATGTCCTGTACAAGACTTAGGAAATGTAATGTCGATGTACTGAATTATTTTACATTATTTTATTTTGCGATTTCTGTTAGAGTTCTGAAGGAACCGTATTCTTTTAGGAAAATGTAAACTAACAATGTGGTGACTACATAAAGAATTTTAGTTTGATGTTGTTTGTTGAATTGTCACAGTACGTCTTGTGACTTAACACACGTACTAGTAATATTGAAACCTGCAAAGTCCAGTCCTTCAGAACCCTAAGTTTCATCGTGAGAGTGTCAGATGCTTTTAATTCTTGTTTATTTTTTTAATCATAATTTGTTATGAGTTTGTTTTTGTTTTGTAAATTACTTAGGATGTGAAAGAGAAGACATTGATCGCTTGCAAGGGCAAGTGCCGTAGATATGCCGATGGAGAAGTACCTGAATCGTTTGTCCTGCGATCCCTTCTCTGGTAAGTTTCCGACTTAATTACCCCCATGAAACGGAGTCCTTCTTGGGAAGCTGATAGTCGTGCCCCCATTTAAGAAAGTTCTCACATTTTATGGCATCTTAAATTTTATTATCGTATCCACGAGAGCCTGCCAGTTGTCTCTGTCCTGGGCCAGATGAATCCAATCCATACCTGTAGACCCTATTTCCTTAATATCCATGAATGTTACATGATCTGCATTAAACAGCATTAACAAATTGTTTTTTATAATAGAGAAGTATTGTTTTCTTTTAGGTAGGTACTGAATTTTTAAATAATATTTTCGTGGACTCGGAGGCCAAATTACTTTTCTTCCCAGATTGTGTTTTTTAATTTGTCAGAAACTTATCTTTACAAATTATCCAACAGATTGAAAAATTCTTGTCTCTCTGAATCTAATTTATGCTTCAGAAAACGAATACGTTTGCATTATTTACCACTGCAGTGCAATCTTGGCCAGTGTTTGTACGTCTTGAGATTTTGTGGTTTCACCAAGAAATTGTAGGACAGTTCCTTGAATAGGTCCTTATTTAGTTTTTCATTCAGCGTTACCTAGACAACAAATGGCTTTTAAACAAATTAATTTCAGAATGCTTAGTTCGAAAATTCTCTGTGAATTTATTTCATCCGGGTCGTTAGATCGCACAAGTAACGCTTGTGTGTTATTTGTGCTGTCTGATAGTAATTGAGGGAGTCTTTGCCTCGTATACTTTAAGGGTATGCCGTATCATAACGTCAGATGAACTAGGGCAGGTCTTGCTGATGGAGATTTGGAGGGATCCATGTGATTTGGATCAACAGTAATTAATCAGGTATTTAAATATTGCTCAAGCAAATTCTATGTCAAATAACTCGGTAATTACTAATTTTGTTGAAGACATTGGTAATATGTGAACCTACTTTCAGTGTACACAAAATTTTGTAGATTTTTTTTTTAAAAATTATGGTGTTTAAATGAATTGCCCTCGTTTGAGTGTGAATATGACCTTGAGTCTGAAAAAGTTAAGAGCCCTGGCCTAGTACGTGTCTACAAGATTTGCAGCGCATTGCAAAGCCAAATGAAATACAAGTATTTACTGAGGTGGCTCCGAGTTTGATTACTGCCATGACAGAAATCGGGAACGCTTTATCCGTCTGTTTACCAGAAATGTAGGAGTGTGAACAGTATTCAGTAATTTATTTAATATGTGTATAAATTTTACAATGACTTTATTGTACATGATTATAATATATATTTAATTATATTTGTTGTTTTAAGCATTGATTAAGAACATTTATTAACAGTAATTCATGGAAGAAATGAAAACAGTACAGTCTATACAGGTGACAAACTAAACTTGCTGGAGATGATGAGACGTTCTGTCGTGGCTCCTGCTTTAGACGCTTCGCGGTCGTTGGCGCCAGATGTGGGCCACTAGCGGCGAGCGGGGCGGTGAAGCTAGCGCCTTCGGCCGAGGCCGGTCCACAGCCAGTTTGGGTCGTAGTGATTGCTTCCTCGAAGAGTCGCTGGTTCGGATTCGCTCACGAAATTTCGAATTTTGTGAGAAGGGCGATGGTTGCGGAGGGCGTGGAGATAGGCGGCTGTAGCTTTAGGACGGAAAGCTGTACCTTGTTCTGTAAACAGTGCGGAGGTGTGAATTAGTGCCCGCCTCACCTACGCTATAGATTTAATATTTACCGTGGTACGACGGGGTATAACATTTCTTTTTTCCTGCTATGTTCCACACAGGAGGTCCTGATAAGCCGTATAAGATAGCGATTTGGTTCCGATCGCCTCTTCTCGTAGAATTCATCATGTTCTGTCCCCCAGAGACTTAATTATCAGTAACAAGTTTTGTAACTAGTAAAACGTACTTCACCTCCCAAGTCAGTATCAGCTGATCTATAAAACTACCTAACGACTTTAATTATAAAATGGAAATTCGAGCCTTTCATTCTGAATAATGATCCTCTCACTAAAAAAGGGAAATAATTATTGTGAAAGACTTTAAAAATAAGTAGATTTAAATTTGTATTCATAAATACGTTTACACCTTCAAAGCTGTGTATTTAATTAACACACGAGTAGGACATATCAAAGCACTTCGTGATTTATGACTGGTCAACGGAGGTTACGATGGGCTGGACGTATAGCTGGCGTGAGGGATCACAAGTAATGTAGGAAAACTGCCCCTTGGAAGATCTAGCGGAGATATAGAGATAACATTAATATGGATCTCAGAGAAGTGACTGGGGAAAATAGTGGTTGCAACTGGCTCAGTGCCGTGTCCAGTAACGGGCTTTGGCAGCCTGGAAGTTGTCTTAAATGTTTATACTAATTTATATTATGGTCTTCTCACGGCGACGAGTATGAATATGGCTGTGTAATGAGATTTTAGCAATGTGTAGAAATTCAACGGTGCTTCACATGTGCTTACTGCTTCCATCATCAGGGCGATGGTGGAGGCAGGGAACACGGCTATGTGAAAACGGAAACATCACGTTCCTCCGAAAAAATGGTTCTATTACGTTACAACCCAGAAGGCCAATCTTAATGCCGCTGTGGAGACCTCATGTCGTACAGTTACTAATTGAATCAATATTACTCGAAGCTGAGTGATTTTTTTTTTCCAGACAGGACATTCATCTTTGTTGGGAAGCTTTCAACCTTGAAATAATTTTATAAACTGAATAAGAATGGGGGGTGTGTGACGTTCAATTTGAGACGGGAAATTGCATTATGGGATGTCAGCTTGAATTATCCTGATACAGAGAACGTAGGAACAGAATGGTGAAGTGCAGTGTTATTTGTCTGCATTTTATCTTAAAACTGTAAGGACGTTTTACATTGACAAGTCTTCATGTCATTCGCTCATGACATCGCCATGTTAGGAATTATTTATATTCTGAGCTCATTAGCTTCCTTTTAAAATAAATTTTGTGTTGGCCTCTAATACCAACGTCCGAAACAGAAAACGATTAAACGTCATTGAAATTAAAGTCCATCGTTCGTCATATTCGTGAGCCGGTTCTGTCCATCGTCTTAATGTTATTCTTCCACTCCTTTATCGGTCTTCCAGTTCGCCATTTCCAAGAGCATTCTCCATGAAAATTCTGTAATACTTATTGTTTCCTCCTGCATTCCATTATCCTGACAGTATGACCTCTAAAAATCCTTACGTTCGTTGTTATAAAATCCGAAGTCACCCACATTTACATCGTAATATTTACCCAGAGACTTTGTTTTCAGAAAACTTCTCTAAAAGTAAAATACAGTATTTTACAACCATACAGAACTAACAAGGTTTTTTTCTCTTAGTATCTGTGAAATAGTTTAAACACTGAGTGTCCCCGGACTTTGTGCTAGCCACTTGCTTTATTTCGTGAAGCTGGTTTAAGCGTCTGACTCGAAAATAGTGGACGAATTTGTCTTGCCCCTCGAAGACCACTAAGGTCACTATTGGTAATGAATACTAGCAGATGACAGAAATGACAACGAGTAACTTTTACACTCTAGCGTTTGCTTTAATAAATTTTTTATATCATAAAACGCGAAGAAGTGTTTCTGAAAGTTCATTATTTTGTCATGGGGATTCTGTGTCGTGGTTTCTCACGGTCCAATCTCCGGTGGGGGTTAAAGGTGCCTGTCTTTGTATTCACACGTGTCAGCTTGCACTGTAATTTCCTGAACTTTGTCGTGTTAAAATGAATATTCCTTTGTTAATGTCTCCCACTTTGCACCTAAGACTTTTTTTTTTAAGTATTTTGACCGCGATGGTAATAGGTCTAGGAAGCGATGAGCAGGCCCAGTGTTTGGTAAGGGTGCTACATCTGGGCACTGCTTTTACCTGCTGTATTTTAACTCTAACTAACTTTTAAACTAATGCTATTATTTCATATTTTTTTTCTGGGAGATTTTGGCATTATCACCACGTTTAGTCGATCTGTCATAATCATATTTTTATAATTTATAGATTACTGATGACAAATATTTAATTATCTTTGCATTTGTCTGTACTGTTGCTGAACATTGCTCGTTACGCGAGTTAAGAATCTAAATTACAGGTCTGAGTGTCTTGAAAGCGAAGTGCTCATGAAAATAATCGGATTTAATGCGTGTAAAAATTTTTTGTCGGAAGTTCTGGAGGAAAGAGGCTACTTGGTAGACCTAGACATGAATGAGTGGACAATATTTAAATAGATCTTATGAAGATCGAGTGGAAGGGTGTGGATTGGATTCATCTGGCTCTAGATAGGGATCTAGATTTTATAAGTATCTTACAGGGCCTACGGGTTTCGTAGTGT